TAGTTTTAAATTGAAGCAATTTATTCCAAAAGCAGTCTACTACTGCAGCAATAATCAATGTGTTTTCCCTTAGCCCATACTTAAGCTTTCCATGGACTATTGTTAATTGCCTGTAACTAAATGACTGCTGGCGCCCTTAAACGTAACTCTTTGGCACTTTTCATTTGTTGCGTTTAACCAAATGCCAGTTTCCCTTAGGTTTTACCCAGTGATTTTGCTTTACAATTTTCTATATTCCATCTCAGTCCCTTAAAGGGGGCAGAGTCTTATCATTTCAACAAAATAACACAGAGGCTAAACAGAGTTTTAAAGGTTTGCATTTTCTTTGTCCATCCTCTGATGTTGAATTGTGCCGAAATGGAATCTTTTTATTTTTTAAATGCTGCCACTCCAGGCAGCTTGAACTTGAGCTGAAAAGTGGATCCCATTTCAAAAGGAAATGACATTTGCTAGGGCAACACCATTCCCATTGTAATGTAAAGATAAAATACAGCAGTGGGTTACATCATTTCTTTTAACTGTAACAGAATTTAACCCCTAGTAATTTTGTCCTCACCTAATGTGTAAGCAATATTGGCTGGCACTCATATTAATGAATGTGTCCAGCTTAGAGCAAAAGAATGTGAAACCGAATCTAATATATCATTTTCTTCAGGAGAATTTACACATGCTATGTAAACCAACGCAAAAAAACCTAAATGGAAAAATTTTTAAGCTGCATATATTTATACTACCGAAGCCATGTTTATTAGTCTTGCATGAAAGCAATATAGTCACTGAGGTAGCAGGCATTATTATATAAACTAGGGAAAGACATTTCTTTTCCAACTTGCAAGTTAGTTATAAGACACTGTGCTTCTCCTTGTAATACTTTAGTTTCTGAGGAAAATCTGAGATACTGTCATGATCTCAAGATAACTTGTTGTCATTATTCAGTCACTAAGTTTTGTCCAACTCTTTGCAACACCATGGACTGCAGCACGCCAGGCTTCCCTGTCCTTCACTATCTCCTGGAGTTTGCTCATATTCCTATCCATTGAGTCAGTGATGCTATCTAACCATCTCCTCTTCTGTCGTCCCCTTCTCCTCTTGCCCTCAATCTTTCCCAGCGTGAGGGTCCTTTCCAATGAGTCAGCTCTTTGCATCAGGTAGATAAAGTATTGGAGCTTCAGCTTCAGCATCAGTCCTTCCAATGAATATTGAGGGTTGATCTCCTTTAGGATTGACTGGTTTGATTCAAGTTAGCTTTTTGCAAACGCTGTTTCTTGGACTAATTTTTGGTATCCCTATTATTAAGTAAATGACTGCCATATGGCTCAGAAGATTTTTTTCTTTCTTTGTTGCGCATACTCTAGGCATATACAACTTTTCATGTTTGTACCTTAAAGGAGGGATTCATGAGACACAAGAGCATTTCTGTAATTGATAAACCTCACCTACCCTGCTCTCTCTTTCTCATTACATTTTAGACATTTAGTATTATTATAATACATTTAGTATTATTGGTTAGCCTCGTAAGCAGTGTGTTTTGGTAGTATTTATGGTTTTTGAGTGACTCATGACATCTAGCAATAATTCATATTTGGGCAACTACTTCCCTAAAAATAAGAAGGGCTTACTTTCTTAACATTTTTAACCTACACATACTTAATTTTTAGGAGTTATAAAAAATGTGTATAAAGACAACTGTTATAAATACTATCTGAGGGAAAAGAATTCTGCTTATTGAATTAATAGAATTACATTTCAGGCATAGTTTTTGATTGTTACATAAGCTATTCAGCGAGATATGAGTATGTAAGGCATGGTTCTAGAATCAAAGGATATGCTTAAGGGCACCATGGAAGAACCATTCCCTGCCTGGGCACTTCTCTACAGCAAAGCAGCTGTCTTGACTCCCTTCTTTCCTTACAACTTCTTCACCCATATCCCTTGGATTAGAACTTATAATGACTCTTTTTAAAAATACCAATATTTTAAAGAATTGAAGTGCAATTAACCTAAGATAAAGCATAAAAGTTTTAAGTGTCTAGCTCAGTGAGTTTTGACAAATGTATATGCTTGTATCTATACCTGAAAAAGATACAGGTTTTTTTTTTGCTTGTTTTTTAACCCCAGAATGTTCCCTCTTTCCCCTTTCCAATAAATATTCCTGTCACTCATCCACAAAGCATCCATTTTGTGATCTTTATCACTAAGGTTTATTTTGGCCTGCTCTTGGACTTTATTTAAATATATATACTGAAGGTATTTCTTTGTGTCTGGCTTCCTTCAGCTAACATCATTTTGTGAAATTCATGAAGGCTGCATGTTGTCAGCAGTTCTTTCTTGGTACCGCTGAGTGTATTGAATCCTATTGACACACAGTAGTTTGTTCATCACACCCTGTTAATGAGCATTTGGGTTGCTTCCAGTTGTGGTTACTATGAATAAGACTGCTCTGAACATCCCGTACAAGTCTTCTTGTAGACATTGGCTTATTTTTCCTTTGAGTAAGAACTTAGGAGTAGATTCATATTTAAGGTAGATTCATATCTAACTTTATTAGCAACTACTCAAATTTTTCTAATACAGAAGTTTCATTTGGGCATTTCCACTAGCAGTGTTTGGGAGCAGAGGTTACACATTCTCCACTATTTTTGTAATTTCTTTTCTCACACAACATGTTTTAGAGTGATGAATTCCAAGTATGAAATGCATTTTATTAGAAAAAAGAAGCCACAGTCCAAATGCTTATCTCTCCCATTATATCCAGTATAATTGAAATCAGATTTTCTGGTATGTAAATTAGCCTATGGGCCTAAGTTAGAGTTTTATGCAGGTGTCTATGTGTGATGGAGTTTAACTGATATCCTGAGAAAACAAGACCCAAAATACCAAATTATATACCCACTAATCCTTTCTGTTCACATAGTAGTAGGAAAATAGTATACTGAAGCATGTTTTTATTTCATTCCTGGTACTTTTGTAGTAGTCCCTCACAAGATTCAGCAGATAAAGCTGTCTGATATTTATAAATACAAACTATATAAATTTCCGTGAGATACTTCTTAGTAATTCACACTTCATGTTAACTTAGACTCCTAAAGATTTAATAACTCACTTTATTTTTTCTTTCTTAAATTCATAAATTCCAATCACTTTTTGTAAGTTTTTCTTCTGTGGCCTATTTAATTTTAATAAGAGCAGAAAGCTACACTTGATTAAACACTAGTTAAATGTACCTTTTTATTCAACTGTTGAATTAGAAATGAATGACAAGATAAGAAGTATGGCTGAGGTTTGTTTGTTTGTTTTTTCCTGTAATCATCACAGGATAAGTGACATCACATGCAAACACGCACACAAATACAAAAATGTCCTTGTGAGAATATGATGGCCATACTTTTCAGATTATTTATCACTGATACTGCATTGCACCCATGATGATTTCACCCCATTACTAAGATCTCAAGAGTGATCTTGGAATCCAAGAGTAGTTGTCACTGCAAAACCATAGATTCTTTTAAAATTCTTAATCTAAGACTACATCGACTATTACAGAGTTAGACAACCCTTTGGTGGATTATAAATTACAGAATTGAAAATACCATTACTTTAGGGCCATAATTTCAGGAATAGTTATCTTTAGTGGTAATTAAGGAAACTAGTACTTTTCAAGGTAGTTGTCAACTGCAGGGAACAATAGCAACCCATCAGTAACATTTGGACTATGATGATCAAGGTCAACATACATACACAGGCAGTTTAATTAAAGTTTCACTAAAGTAGACTTCAAAATCTGTGCATTCTGGCCTAGTGTTTAAATACCAGTATCATTGAATTTGTTACATTGTCCATGAGCTCTGAAGGAGTAAAAAGAAGTGAATGTTTTATCTCTAAAATTGTCTGATCATTTATTCTGTTTTATAGATATTCTATAGGAATAAGAGAACTTGTATACAGAGGGTGGCAAGAAAATTACTCTTTTGGATAGAATGTAGTAACATACCAAGTCGAAGGGGAAAGAAAAGATAAGAAAAAGATATTTAGCTCTGTTGCTGCTGTTTAGTCGCTAAATCGTGACTGACTCTTTTGTGACCCCATGGACTGTAGCCCACCAGCTTCCTCTGTCCATGGCACTTCCCAGGCAAGAACACTGGAGTGGACTGCCATTTCCTTCTCCAGTGGATCTTCCTGACCCCGGGACCAAACCAGCATCTCCTGCACTGGCAGGCCAATTCTTTACAACTGAGCCACCTGGGAAGCCCCTTTAAGAGCTTAGTGAAAGGGGAAAACGACCACATAGTCTGGTATGACATCCACTAGGGAGCCTAGTTCTTAAGCCCAAGTTAGCACTCAGCCTCCAAGACTGTGGTCAGCCATATTGGCACCACTCTGTTGAGAAAGACAAGTGTTAGCGTTTCTGGCAGGAGCCAGCAGACAGTATTCATTAGGTGGTCCACCCAACTCTCTATGCAACACTCCACACTGCCCTTCAGGAACTGTGCAGTTACCCCTCATTTCTCCTCAGCCCCGACCTCCGGGTGACGACTGAGGTAGGAAAGACTAAGATTCAGATTGGGTGAGTTCAGAAACTATCCTGGCTTAAAAGCTTCATCTCCAGAGGAACCAGTATTTCTGTTATCAACTCCAGCATACTTTGCAGGATTCCCACAGGAATAGGTTTATGTGTAAGAGTCACTTTCACTCTAGCAAGCCCCAAATTATAGTTTCCAATCAGGTATTTACAAATCAGTCCAAATGCAATCTACCAATGTAGGTTCATTCTTACCATAAGCAATGTTGCTTAGCAACACAGTTACCACATACCACCTTATCGGGTTACCAAGGAAACAGCTAGAAAGTTATCAAAAGGTCAGATTCTACTGCAGAAAGGAAAGGGGTTGTGTCAATCCATTACCCACATCTGATCTCATCCACAGAAGTGTGAAATCAAGTTGAATTTATGATTTTGTGTGTGAATATGGTATAATTCCCTCTGGTAATTTTTTTTCTAGAGCTGATGTATACAGTTGAACTTGCTGGAGGGCTTGGTGCTATCCTTCTGCTGCTCGTTTGTTTGGTGACCATCTACAAATGTTACAAGATAGAAATCATGCTCTTCTACAGGAATCATTTTGGGGCTGAGGAGCTAGATGGAGGTAAGCTGAGTCCCTTCTTGTAAGGTTCTTTCTTTTCATATTTGTTTCCTGCTTTTGTTGAAGGAAAGAAAAGTTACCTGAATAACCATTTGCAGTATCTCTTAGAGTCTTTCAATGTTCAGTTTGTAAATTCATCTTTTCTATGGAACGCTATGTGTGATGCTTTGGAGCCAATAGGTATTATCCTCTGAAAATTGGAAAGCAACACCTACCGTTTTTAGAATGGTGTTCCAAAGAGCACTTCTGAATTACAAACGCTGACTACAGTGTTATCAGAGTGTTCATTTCTTTCACCTTGTAATCAGTACTGAAAGTCCAGCTTTACTTCTGGATAAGTAAGGAGTGTCTTTTTTAATCGTGCTCCCTAGCTCAGTAGTTTGAAGTGAATCTTCATTTGTCCCTTGTTTAGCCTGATCAGTTATAATAAACCATACTGAATATTTTAGAATTCATCCAGCAGTCTTTCAACCCTGTTTATTTAGCTTTATTTGGACAGTCTAATTTTTATTCCAAGTGGGGACCCACAGAGAGGGAAGTGCACAAACACGTTGTTTTCATAATAATAAATCTAATACTTGTGCTCCAACTGGGTAAGTAAATATTGTTTTCATAGAATCATTATTATTATTTGCCTCTGGTCAGTCATAAATATGTTTACAATCTAAGAAGAATTTGGAGTCCTTAAAATTGAGCTCCATAAACTGCCCATTAGTGGACTAAAATTTTTTTTTTTTTCCCTTTTTTGGTCATTTGAAAGTGATTCATATATAACATTAAATTGCAACATAGGAAGCATATGTAAAGTGGCAATAAATAGTACAGACGGTCAGGGTTTCTTGATCATTTTCATAATCTCTTTTCATTGACTATCCATTTTTCACTTATCATTACAAAGGAAAATGAAACAATTGCCCTTGTTATCACATTTCCATAGGCCTCTGGAATAAGTCACAGGCAGAGTGTAGGCTGTCAGACTTGTGAAGAGGAGCAATTTATTCAGCATCCCTAACACTCCTCTGTGTAACCTTCTCCCCTTCCCATTAGAATGAAATCTGTGCTGCAGCGAGACTGTTTTTTTTTTCTCATTTTAAAGTATCGATTAGCCTATTTATTCTTTGTTTCTAACTTTTTTGCCTATTCATACAGATTGTTAAGTTTTTTGCTACTGCTTCAAAGAGATATGAGCAAATTGCCAATGTCAGAGTCATTGTTGAATGAGAACCAAGCTGAGTACTAGGCCTTCTTAAAATCATTTTTGCTAAACCTCAGAAAAACTCAGGTCAATAGTATAATCTCTCTTTTACTGGTAAAGCAACTGAGGCTCCCAGAGTTAAATAACTTACTAAAGAAGATATCACTAGTGTTATTGTAAGTGGCCAAGGTGGGATTTGAATATAGGTCTATTTCCAAAGCATTTATTTGATTGATCACTGAGCCCTTGTTATCCTTAGCCTTTTAAAAATCTGGTATGTTCAGCATAACTTCAAGATCTGCTGTTATTTGCACATGTAACACAGTAGAAGTTATTTGAAAAGACACTGCCTAAAGAAGTCTCACTTTATCTATTAACCTTACTTTGGACATAATTTTTGTTCTGAATGATATGAAGGACTTAACCCAAATGATAAATTTCCAGTATAATTTTTTTTTGTCACATTCTGAAAGGTAGAAGATTCTAAAGAGTTTCAGCTCAGTAGCTCAGTCGTGTCCGCCTCTTTGTGACCCCACGGTCTACAGCATGCCAGGCTTCCCTGTCCATCACCAACTTCCGGAGCTTACTGAAACTCATGTCCATCAGGTCGGTGATGCCATTCAACCATCTGATCCTCTGTCGTCCCCTTCTCCTCCCACCTTCAATCTTTCCCAGCATAAGGGTCTTTTCAAATAAGTCAGTTCTTCGCATCAGGTGGCCTCAGTATTAGAGTTTCAGCTTCAACATCAGACCTTCCAATGAATATTCAGGACTAATTTCCTTTAGGATGGACTGGATGGATCTCCTTGCTGCCCAAGGGACTCTCAAGAGTCTTTTACAACATCACAGTTCAAAAGCATCAATTCTTTGGCACTCAGCTTTCTTTATAGTCCAACTCTCACATCCATACATGACTACTGGAAAAACCATAACTTTCACTAGATGGACCTTTGTTGGCAAAGTAATGTCTCTGCTTTTTAATATGCTGTCTAGGTTGGTCATAACTTTTCTTGCAAGGAGCAAGCATCTTGTAGTTTCATGGCTGCAGTCACCATCTGCAGTGATTTTGGAGCCCCCCAAAATAGTCTATCACTGTTTCCATTGTTTCCCCATCTATTTTCCATGAAGTGATGGGACCAGATGCCATGATATTTGTTTTTCTGAATGTTGAGCTTTAAGCCAACGTTTTCACTCTCCTCTTTCACATTCATCAAGAGGCTCTTTAGTTCTTCTTCACTTTCTGCCATAAAGATGATGTCATTGGCATATCTGAGGTTATTGACATTTCTCCCAGCAATCTTGATTCCAGTTTGTGCTTCATCCTGCCCAGCATTCCTCATGATGCACTCTGCATATAAGTTAAGTAAGCAGGGTGACAATATACAGCACTGACATATTCCTTTCCTGATTTGGAACCAGTCTGTTGTTCCATGTCCAGTTCTAACTGTTGCTTCTTGACCTGCATACAGGTTTCTCAGGAGGCAAGTAAGGTGGTCTGGTATTCCCATCTCTTTAAGAATTTTCCACAGTTTTTTGTTATCCACACAGTTAAAGGCTTTGGCACAATCAATAAAGCAGAAATAGATGTTTTTTTTGGAATTCTCTTGCTTTTCCAATGGTCCAACAGATGTTGGCAATTTGACCTCTGGTTCTTCTGCCCTTTCTAAATCCAGTCTGTACATCTGGAAGTTCATGATTTACGTACTGTTGAAGCCTGGCTTGGAGAATTTTGAGCATTACTTTGCTAGCCTGTGAGATGAGTGCAATTGTGCAGCAGTTTGAACATTCTTTGTCATTGCCCTCCTTTGGGATTGGAAAGAAAACTGACCTTTTCCAGTTCTGTGGCCACTGCTGAGTTTTCCAAATTTGCTGGCATATTGAGTGCAGCACTTTCACAGCATCATCTTTTAGGATTTTAAGTAGCTCAACTGGAATTCCACTACCTCCATCAGCTTTGTTCGTAGTGGTGCTTCCTAAGGCCCACTTGACTTCGCATTCCAGGATGTCTGGCTCTAGGTGAGTGATCACACCATCATGATTATCTGGGTCATGAAGATCTTTTTTGTACAGTTCTTCTGTGCATTCTTGCCACCTGTTCTTAATATCTTCTGCTTCTGTTAGGTCCATACCATTTATGTCCTTTATTGTGCCCATCTTTGCATGAAATGTTCCCTTGGTATCTCTAATTTTCTTGAAGAGATCTCTAGTCTTTCCCATTCTATTATTTTCCTTTATTTCTTTGCACTGACCACTGAGGAAGACTTTATCTCTCCTTGCTATTCTTTGGAACTGTGCATTGAAATGGGTACATATTTCCTTTTCTCCTTTGCCTTTAGTTTCCCTTCTTTTCTCAGCTATTTGTAAGGCCTCCTCAGAGAACCATTTTCCCTTTTTGCATTTCTTTTTCTTGGGGATGGTCTTGATCACTGTCTCCTGTACAATGTCATGAACGTCTGTCCATAGTTCTTCAGGCACTCTGTCTATCAGATCTAATCCCTTGAATCTATTTGTCACTTACACCGTATAATCATAAGGGATTTGATTTAGGTTTATATGTTTAGAGTTTAGATGTTACTGAACCTTAGTTGCATCCCCTTGGATTCTTCTACACATTGTTACAATTGAATAAATATCTACTTTTGCAGTGTTGAAAAATTTCTCTAACATCATGAATCCCCATTCTTCCTAGCTCTCCTACAAGTCTTTTCTTCTTCCAAAGAATAGAGAATTGTTAAGAGAATGCAAGCTTTTCTTGACTTGCCTTCAAAAACTGTAATTTGAAAGTCAAAGTTGATCAGTTATCTTCATTCTTGGCTACCATGTTTCCTCCCCTGAAATGGGAATACATGAAATGCTCTTGGAAAGAAAGGAAAATGGTGTGAAGAAGAAGAAGAGGGAAAGAAAGTTTAGCTCATCTTTTGAAGTAATGTCAGTACTACAGTGATTGTTAATAACAGATTCACTGACCATTTCTTAAGTATGTATTAAATGACAAGTGTTGTGTTGACTATTTTATTGATACTCAGAAAATCATACAACCAGGAAGACAGAATTGAAACCCAGGTCTAAATCCCCAAATTTTCCTAATTTCCATCACTGTATAAGACTAGGAGATGGACTGTTTGGCATCTGGACACATTCAGTCGGCTCCTTTCAAGTCTTTACAATGGGCATTACCTGACTCTATCAGTTCTGTATCAGAAAGATTCTGTTTTTCCAAGATGAAACACATTGATGCTTTGCTTTCTTGGTTTGTTCACATCAATCTTTGTACCCTTCTACACAACCTTACGTTGTAACATTTCCCCTAGACTCAGGCCTTAGCATTTCTCTTTTAATTTTGCAGCACCACCTTTTTGGATCCTATGTACAACCTGTCTACAGTTGCATTTATGTACGAATTACTCCTAAATGTCTTTCTCCAAGTTCTCTTGTTTTATTATCATATTCCCATAACCTTTTGGTTTTTTTATACTGTGATAGGAACAAAGACCAGCTTTTGCATCACCCATCCCCCCACACTCATTCCTTACCATTCTCCGTTTTACATCTCAATTCTCTGTATCATCATTTACCTCATTTGCCTCACTTCCTCTCCATCTGCCATTTCCAATTAGTTATCATGATCAGCTAATACATTATTGACAAGAGACATATTAATACATCTTTTGTTACCCAAACATTATTGGCCGCAGATAGATCAATACATTTTTATAGAGAGAGATACAATTAACATGACTGTGCATAGGTTTTAGAGCTTTAAGTTAACCAAGGGTTCATTGTACAACTTAGAATTGTAATTATCATT